TATATATATATAGAATATACATCTGTGTAGTTTCGTTTAGCTAGAGTAAGATCACATGCCGCCAGGTTTCGGAAGATTTGTATCGTAAGCTCTGATCACGTCCGTCTGTGTCACCGAGCCTCCTTCCTCTTGAGAGAATGCAAATCCATCTGCATCGCGCAGCATGTTCAACAACAAAGATCGCAACCGATTAATCTCTGTTACCACAACAATTAAATTGGTTAAGGCGCATGCAAACATGTAGGAAACGAATTTTTATTATTTGCTGTAATCGAATGTTAGAACGCAATCTCTATCACCAGACGACCGTCTACATATCTACGTTTCTAAAAGAGCTCTTGAAACTATGCTCCACACAAATTATTACGAAGTTGTTTTTAACACATTAGGATTAGTCTGACTGAATCAAAGATTAGTGGAAGCTACGACGGTATTGTTAATACAATTTATAAACTAACAGTAACCCAGTGTATGTATACTGTTAAAGCGTACTAAAACAGTGTGCAAGTGCGAAATATCGTGAGAAATTGTTTGCTTGTTACAAGGAATATTTAAATTCCTTCCAACTGAATAGGAGAAAGCCGTGAAGAAGTACACGAAGCGCGTGCTCTTAAGTTAGACAACGGTATGTTTATTAGTAACGAGTAAAGTAGAGGATACCAAACGACCAGGCTAAGAAGTTAAACAGTCTGTACAAGAGGTTCATTGTTCTTATCGTTCTCATTTTCCTCGATCGCAGCCCGTCGTTAGACAGATAAGACAACTTACGTGATAGCTCCACCTCGATATTAACTCTGGAGGCGGCGTTCGATCGCCTGGTGAAAACACTTTTTACGTTTTTCAGTAGCCGAGCCGTCTCCGTCAATCTGGAAAGCCGTGCATTCACAATTGTTTTAGAAACACTCCTCTGGCTACCCGTCGCTCTCAAATTGCACCCGGCGATGAGCAAAACGCGTGACTCTCTTTTTATTTAAATTCGATTCTGTTTTTTCCTTCGACAATGTTCAACCATTGACGCGCGGCCTTTTCTCGATCAACTACCTGATAATTGTGTTATTTTATGTGTAAGGTGATTCATGCGGTGTCAGAAATTCTAACTGTGCTGTCCGTGCGATTTTTTCTGCTCATAACGCCACTAGTTTTCGTTCTAATATTACGTAATAAGTAATTGCAAATCTCGTTATTTGCAAAAAATGTATTGAAACAATTTCGTACACGTTTCGAAACAGAAGAAATAGTATTACAGAATCACTAAAGAATACGTGGCACGTGTGATGGTACATACATGGTGCTCTTCGCTGTGCCCTCGCAAATGGAACGTCGAACAATCATGCGGTTCTGATTAATTACAATCAGTGCTCTTTAACGGATAGTGTAAAATTACAGGACCATTACGATTTGCGTGATTACTACTACTGGGGGTACTTACACCTCGCGAGATTGGCGATGGCATGCACAGGCCTTCACGGGATACCGCGAATAAAACATACCACAAAAACCGCATTAACAAACGGAGTACTTGTTCAGTACTGATAAAATATTTTTTTAGTGGTTTGTCGATTAAAAAAATTACTTGGGTCCAGGAACGTCCACAACGAGTACTATTTATGAATGTTTTTGATGGCAAGCTTAAGTCTACATAAAACTAAAATCGAAAGTAAAAAATAAAAGGAACCAAAGTTTCTCCTTCCCAAACCCACCCTTCTATGCATACGAGATACTTTAAGAAAACCTTGACGCTACTGGTTCATGCTACCAAACGTACAAAACTTTATTATTAAGTACAAATGAAGATCTAAGGCCGGTATTCAGAATCGTTACTTATTCTTAAGATCGTCTTAAGCATTTGCTATCCCTATCTATCCCATGTTTCCAGTCCTTGTTTTGTACAGGAAACAGGGACTTAAGCGAATGCTTAAGGCGATCTTAAATATAAATAACGACTCTAAATTCCAGCCTAAGAATACTAGCGTACTAGTGATAAGAATAGCTACATAATTTAAGGAAGACATTCAATTAAATCAGATCGTATAATACTTTTGTTAATACCGTGTTGCTTAGAATTTTAAAAAAGAATGATATTACTATTACTACTAGGTAGAAAATAAAGAAAACATCTTATTTGTATACAAACACGTAGTAAATTTCGTACTATACACCTATATAAAATAACAGCACGATTACAGCAGTCTTTGGTATAATAATCAACGTGGTAAGAAAACAGTAAACACATATGTACGTATTGGAAAATAGTTGGTTCTTACGGGCAAGTAAAAAGGGAGTATATGCATAAAATTCTAGGATGCTTACGGATTTCATGTTATCAAGGAATTTGCAGAATGTCTTTGGGATCACGGAAAACGAAATGGTGCAGTCGAGACATGCTGTTTGTGAGTGAAGCACAGATCGCGCGCTGCAAGCGCAATCGGTAGGATTCTGATCTTATTTCGCCTTCGCGGTGACCAGAACGAGTTCCAACACCGAATTAACCATCGCCTCCTCGAATACGACTTCGATCTCCTGTTGCAATTTTCATATCTCTACTAAATTTAAATCTTCGAAAACATGATTTTTGCTACGTACTCTAATGACAGTCATATATAGCTATTGTTATGCAAAAATCTATTTTTTTTAGAAAGGGCGAATGCAATGAAAAATTAAATCGCATGATAACGACTTCATCAAGGCGAAAACATCGCTATATGCATGCATACACAAATGATTTGTTGGTTCGTAAACTTTTTAAAAATCGTCGTTGTTACGTCAATAATAAAATTTCATTTTGTTTCTCGTTAAGCCATGCATACTGAATATCAATGAAAAGCATTATTCTCATTTAACTACAACGATTTCATGCAATGCCGCATTTGCGAACTTTTGTAAGTAGTATATGGAAAAATATGATCAATAAGTTATCGGTATGAATTAGTAGAAGCATTTTCTATTGTCCTAAGACGGAATTTTTAGTTCCTACGATAATTTCGCGTGTTATATAAATCAGTTAAATTTGTAATATAAAGTAATTTGAAAGAGACTTACGAGCTCCTGTAGTCATGGCTGTTGAATATATCACCGGGATCAGACTTTCGAATCTCATTTTCTCTAGCTGCCGCAGTGACGGATTTCCATATCGTGTTTTTCACTCTGCAGCAAACATGAATTTCACATACCTCTAAGCAACATATCAAATTGAAATGCTCAAACAGATTTGATTCGAACGTATGTATGTACTTACGCCTTCACTGTAACATCCAAAAGTAGTACTGCAGATGGAATAAGTATCAGACCCAACCAGAACGTGGGCGAAGAAAACAGCATTGTGTCGTTGCCTACCATTACTGCACCCACATTTAAAACAGGCCAAAAGTTACTGTAATTTAATAAAGGTTTGAAATTTATTACAACTTTTCTTAATACTTCATTTAAATTAGCTTATAGCCGCGTTTAGAAATTTACCTGTATATAAAAATAAATAAAAACCAAAGCATAATGGATCCCCACATCGCCAAATGAGTAACCCACGTCCAAGAATTAATTATTAATCCAGCTTTTGCACACACCGTCACTACAACATACTATCAACAGATAAAAATGTAATAATTATCTTCCATAGAAATATTGATGATTCTACACAATCGTATAATTGAGACGTACAGTGTATACGAAATTTCCCAGAACTATGTAACCACCATCGCGGCCGTTTGCCCATATCACGCCTTCTTTTAGAACCATTAGCGACAACCAGTAAAGGAGAGATGAATGTATTAGAGCATTGGCAATCCAAAGCCAAAATACCTGAAACGATATCGATAATGTACACAATTTTGAATAATGAGTAAAAATCGATAAATGTGAAGAGATACGGACTCGTAGTACCTTAATATTAAATGATGTTCCTCCGGTATTTTTAGTTGCATACAGTCCTGGATGAGCTAGATGAGTTTCTGCAGAGCACACTTTATCAAAAAGTCCCATAGCTAATGGAGGTGCAGCTGTAAATACCTATAAGAATAGAATAAATCTCGCTGGTACTTTTATTCTATAACATGACGTTGCAACGGTAAGACACTAGTCTATAACTTACAACATTGTAAAGACCGATGGACCATCTCTCGAAGAGAATTTGCCCGGACCAGCCGGAGTAAATAGCGAACCACAATTCAATGACGTAGAGACAAATATTCTTGTAGAACGAATACAGTATCAACTTGCACATTCTACTGTAGTTCCACGAACCGTGAACGAATAATAAGCGTTTCAAAAAACGAAACTGCGCGATGGAATAATCAGAAGCACAAGCTGCCTGAAGACCTTCAACGCCAGAAATTCCTAGAAATTTTTAAGATCAATAGTATTATACGCTTACTTTGCCCGTTATGCGATGAACAGTGACACAAGTGAATCTTACCAACACCGATGTGAGCTTTTTGAATCATGGCTACGTCATTCGCACCATCTCCAATGGCAAGTGTTACAGCTTTTTTATTAGTAGTGATTAAATCGACCACCTGAAAAACTCTGCTATATTATTATTTTCGTTAACAAAATTTAGGATTATTTAAAATGTATAAAAAGTCACCTCGGCTTTCTGCATTGGCGAAACTCTACAACAAATAACAACCTTGCAGGATGAACATAGATCCAAAAAGTCCATTCTAATATCACAGGATAACGCGTATTCTAATGTACTTCCATCTATAATAAGAGCTACATCGTTTTGACACTTTAAATCGATCCCGAAATCAAGACAACGCTGTATTATGACTTCTCTCGTTTTCTGTAAACAAACGTAGTTACTCGAAAATGCTTTCTAGATAATTGAAAAAAATATCATTCATTATTCTTCTTACATCCAAGGATGATTCATTGATAATATATAACGGCATTCCGTGAGTAATCAATCTACAAGAATAACCAATATTTATAGCGGTTTCTTGTTTGTCTCCAGTCAATACCCACACATTAATGTCAGCTTGTAAAAGAGATTGTATTGTTTCCGGTACCTGAAACATTGTAAATTATCCTTATTTCCTCTTAGAAACGTACGTGCAATCTTACGTCGAATATTGTCATAAGTACCTGATCCTGTAATTGATCTTCAATAGCGGTTGCTCCTAGTAATCTTAATTTTGTTTCAATAAGGTCCGCTGCATTCTCAATCATAGCCTCACGATTTCCTAAACTGATCATTGCATTGTGGTACGTTTCACGCCACCACTATAAAAAAGATTCATTGGCACATCACCTGATGATTATATTGGAAATATAACGACAAGAAAATGAATGGCAAGTACCTGATAAAAACTGTCGGGTACATCTGCAACCGCGAAACACAGTGTTCTCAAGCCCTCGGTTGCGAAGTTTTCCAAATGTTCTAAAGTTACATCTCGGAAGTCATCTGAAGTCTGATCAGGATCAGTATTCTCCAATTCAGTTGGACTTAATCTTTCATAAATAACAGAATCGGCTCCCTTACAAAAAAGTTTGATATTTCCTTCAGGCGTCTTTACTATCACCGACATTCTTTTCCTCGCTGACGTGAATTCTATTACATTTAAGATTTCGTACCGAAATCTTTCACCAAGTGCCGCTACTTCCACGTAAGCGGGCGTTCTAGTATCGAACACATAATTAAATTTACGTGCTCCGTCTACCAGCGCTTGCTCATCTGTTTAAAACAAGTGCTTTGTGAAATTAAACTATTAATGATATGTTTCGTGTATTAAAATAAGCCTGATTAATACTGCTTACCCGGTGATGCTGCATGATAAATAATTGTTTCGTCAACTTTCTCGGGAATAACAGTATGACACACCGATAACATAATCATGAACTCATGCAGTATTTTTGCATGATTTGCAGCCTTTTTATCGGCGGGGCGACAGCAATCTTGCGTTGATCTCCCTTCGACGATATCTCTAATTAACTCACTATTGATACTACTACTACTCTCGTCACCCTCTAAATTTGGAGTTGGCAAACTACAAAGCACTACCTTTTAGTAAGGGATAGTCAAAATAATTGACGCACGATAAAGAAAAATACATATGACTATAATACTTACTCGTATATTTTACCACCAATTGAACATCGTTTGAATTCCATTACGTTTTTCGTAAGAGTACCAGTTTTGTCGGTAAAGATATAATTAACCATACCAAGTTCTTCATTAAGATTACTCGTACGAGCCATGGCTGGGGTATCTGTTTCTGCGTGGTACATTTCAATGTCCATATTAATAAACGTAGCTTGAACATATCTCACCACTTCCAACGTGACTTGCAACGAAATCGGTATTAAATTGTTAAATAAAATCATGAATGTCAAAAGATTGAAAGCAAAATTTTTAGTCATCTCCTCTGTAATAAATAAACAATTCATCAGTTAATGTCATGATCATCCTTGAAAAGACGATTTTGTAAATTGATTTCTCACCTTGTAAACCTAAATACCACAATCCATGACTGTGATTTTTAGTCCAAAGAATGTTAAATACCGCAGATAAAAGGCACAGGAAAATAAGTATAAAGAATAACATGAGTATTTGTGTATTGGTCAGTCGATCTAAAGTGGACCTTTTTAAGGGCGCGGTCGTAGTATTGTTTTGCATAAGCTTGGTGTCATGACCAGTGTAGATTACTACACCGAACACCCAGCGCGTATTCCTTAACATCGCGCCACGAAGTAATAATTGATCAGGTCCCAAAGGTACACATCTAAAAATTGATACAATCATTTCTTACTGTATGATCATTAACTCACTTCTCCTAGATTCTTAGAAAAAATAATCGTACTGTTTACTAGTTTCACGTAACACCCCATTAAATTCATACAAATGTCTGTTAGGCGGCTCGCATTGTATGTTTGCACGAAAGTTCATCAATTCAATGGTATCTAGAAGACTGGCAGTGTCGGGATGGGCCTGTCTTATTTTTAAATTCGTCTCCCCGTCCAAATTAGCAGTCTCTAAGAAAGACATACCCTGTGGCTCCGACGATGATAATAAGATCAAGTCAGCAGGAAAGAAATTGTTGTTCAGGACCTATGGATATTAAACAAAGCGATTCTAGCACCGATATGTAAATCTTCAATAATTATCACATCCTTTGTGAGGTAAATAGAATTCAACCTTAACAACATCACCAACAGCGACATTTCTCCACTGTATCCACTGCCAATGACCATCCCGTAAAACTTCCACTTCACGCATATTTATTTCGTCGTCCGCTCTGTGCCTTTTCTGCAATTTATATAGTGTCGTAATTGTCCATACTATTATTAAGCGATCAGGCATTAGAAATGCTTACAATGTCCTCGACTATTTCTTTTAACGCAGATACGCTAAGAATAAAAATTAATGGAACTAAAGTAGTGTATCGACCTGTAGGAGACACATCCGGTATTTGCTGAAATTAAGGAAATCGTTATATGCATTTAACGAAATTTATTTCAAATGCGCTACATTTTTTCTAGACGTAAATGTGCTATGCTATTTAAGTGTGCAATTACATGCCAGAGATAATACCTGCATGAGGGCGATGAATAGGAAGAAACAGTTACTGTATCGACGAAATTGTTCAAAAAGGAACATAGGTATAAACGAAAGAAGCGAGTACTTCGCGGTAGTAATGTGATTGTTTTTATATTTCGCTGGTTGATGGGGAGCGTTTATGAAAACAACCCTCTCCTCGCGGCTATCATGTTGCTGCGGACTCCGTTGATCGCCACCCTGGGATCCACCATTTTCCGCTCTTACGGGACCAACTATGATAGAATATAACCACATATGCCACTTAGTTTAAACTGTTTGTGTACGGACGTAAAAGATTATCACACAGTCGTTCAAAATAATATTATTCCATTATAAATGAACTGGAAATGTTTATGTAAATTGATATAGTTTAGTAGTAACCTTTTCTCGCGTCTGACTTCAGTCGAACAATAGTCGCGCATTAACCATTTATATCCATACATATTATACGTGTGATATGCAATGTATACATCTACATTTTGTTTATTTTTATTCACTTACGATTTTGAGCGTACAAATAGAGATGACACCGAGTCCTGAGTTCGTTGAACCATTGAATCACTTTCGTACCAGCTATTTCCATATTGCCGTTTTCTACACTACAATGTCTCTCGCATCACTTCTCCGTATTAATTCGATTCATTATTTATCAAGCGAAAAGACAGCACGGTTACAAACACAACCTAATACAATTCGATGATACAACTTAAGCTTGGACAATCAATAATATTTCATACTATCGCCGGAAATTAAGAAATAAGTCAGCAGATTCAAACTTGATTTAAAGACTGAAGAGAACTTAATCGACTCTTAGTAGAAACTGATACATATAGATCGCGATTGTGTTATCATCTCTGAGGTTAAAGTTGGATATCTAAAAAGGAATTTCCTACAAAGCTTTTTTATCGCGTTTAACACCACAACACCAAGATTAGCTGGTAATTACTTTAAGTGCCATTTGAAATAAGTTAGTTTTTTACAGTTATTGTGAAATACGAAAACAAAATTGTAATGACACGCGCAAACTTCTCATTGGAATGATCCTCTAGAGAGCTGCATTATAACATGATGTTTTTTAACTGTGTTGTATAATTTCAGCACGATTTGTTGCTCGACGTTTTTTCTCTATTATCTCGTGCATGTACATATATGACAGTGGGAGGTTCGCGCTTGTGTTACTAATTGTAATCTAATGGATTTAAGTGTACAGATACTGCATGGGATGAAAAATTGCGTAACACGAAACAGACGTTGGTGTTGAAATAATTGTTCCCTGCTGTCAATCTACGCATATTATCTCGCGAACAAAATATTTCAGTTTGTGCAAGTCAAGGTTTCAACGCATGTAATAATTAGTTCCTGTATATTTATACCTGTCAGTACGTCATCGCTAGCCAATAATAGAACAATCACGATGATTAACAACGAAGACGAAGTAACAGAATAATTCTCACTGTGTTCCACACATATTGAGTGGACTACCGAATTGGACAGAAGTAATGACAGACAATGAGGAGAAATGTGCAATAGTATGTAAATAATAAAGATAAAAACTACATATTCGATTTACATATCCCTTAATTATTTTGTCTGTTATCGATTAAACGAAAGCGATCGAGATTAATCTCTGTTTATTATTTTGACATGTTACGAACGACTGCAAGTCTCTTCGAATCATCAAGGAAATTCACGCATCCCGTGACAACGTGCGCACTTGTTTCGCGAAACGGTAGTCAACATACACTGTTGAGACACTTTTGTGCACGAGATAACGATCGACAGAACAAACTACGTATCTGCGTCATCGTGCCGGGAGAATTCGGGTCTATCGCCACACCCCTATCGGACTACCGGAAACTCAAATGCACGTAACGCAACCCCTTGAATGAATTCCACACGGAAAACGGTACTATCCGAAGTGTACAATCCCCAATAAAAAATATCACCGGACTGAGAATCCCGTGACGATATCACGCCTGCGAATTCACTCAGGAGATACTGATTCTAGCACATAATTATATAGGTGGCACTGGTCATCATTGGCTTCTTTACCGAGGTATACGTACATAGATGATCTATTAGATCGTCAACGCTCAGAAAATTTACACATACATGCTGTTCACGTTACTGAGATCGCATCGTTCATTCTTAACTCTCATTAACGACAAATTCACTTCCGTGTCGCACGACCACGAACGAGAAAAGAAAAAGAATATCACGCAAGTGTAATAAACGGATCTGTCGGTGCAGGCGTGATTGAATAGAACGAGCATACAGTGGTATTGATCATTCCTTGCGTTGCAACACACAGGAATGAGACAGCCCCTTTGGAACGGTGGATATCTCGAACGCCACAGGCACAGGCTCGTAAATGATCGAGTACATTACTGGCGAAGGGGTAGTGTGCAAAATGCGACAGCCCTGTGCACGTGTTGTCCCGAAAACGCATGCGCCCGGTGCCGGCAACAAGTTGGCGTCAGCACCGTGCTGCACTCGACAAAACACGTTCCGGCCCGCGAACACAGGTACAGGCTTGCGTCAATAAACAATCTTGGTGTTCGTAGACTATGGGCCAAGGACACTCCCGTTGGGGTGAAACGAAGGTAGCCCCCGCGCTACTGGTATCGTACCCTCATTAGACAATCCGCTCATATCACTTCGATACGACGCACGAATGCGAGAAGAGGGAAAGCGGAAAATCAGATTAAATTGCTCCCTTCTCTTTTATACGAACTATGAAACTACCAAAGCGCGTTCCTATATATCGAACGATGCTGCGGTATCTGGTCTGCACTGAACAATAGGAGCGATACCATCGAGAATATTTCTGTATCTGATGTTACAATCCAAGTTTGTTGTTCTTTCCTACTTCAAATCTAGTCACGTATATTATTTTATCAGATACGGAAAGAACAATAAGAGAAGGTTCCATGTATAGCAGCAGGTATTTAAATGACGTATATGGGAATAAGACATACTGCTTGGCCTGTAACCTTCCTTGGGGGTATAGAATCGCAATTATAACTTCTATATCGGTGCGTATCTATTATTCCTATGTATATATATTTTTATGACAACTTTGCAGCCTCGTGATGCTTATCCTATAGAGTCCGATTATTACAGGTTGCCGTAATCTCTCTAATATTTACTCGACATTTTACATCAATCCGTTCTCAACTAGCCCTATCTAAACTACTGAATAAATCGTGTACGAACAAGTAAGACTGACATAAAACCAGTCTTACTTATTTCGATTGTTTTACGGAATTGCATTCACCATATACAAGATAATGAAGTAAATTAATGGTGATTAGGGTAATGATGATAAGGAGAGCAGAATTACTAAAAATAGCCTGTGAACATCTTACCGTCAGTACCACTCTCGGGTGCTGCAGCCTCCTGCAATTCGATATGTTCGCGTGTCCTTCCGCGCCCACTCCCCAGACGTTCTATACGTAAGCCAATATTGTCCACGTTATCGATGTTACCGAGATCGATTGGACTACCGATGATATAAGGGCCGGATTGTTCTTGGACTCCATCGTTGACTCGACCGCTGGCTAATGAGGAACTGTTACGAACACCGCCGCTGTGCGGGGGTGTTCCGTCCATATGAGGTATGGAAGAAAGATCCGGAGGTGTAAATGGACGTAACGAGCCAGGACTGGGAACCCGGGGGCTCCCCCTGGCAGTTGGTTGCATTGAACGCAGCGGGGCCTAGATCAAAATGAATTCAGTTAATAGTAGCTTACGTCGTTCGTTTTATTTTGACAGTTTAAACCGAACTGGCAAAATTTGTGTTAAGCATTTCACTAACACGACTGATAAGCTGGTTAACCGAGTGAGTGAGTAAACCGGCTAAAATATCGAATTTTTATTTTATAACTGATATATTATTAAGAATCAAACATTGCTCAACCGATCGATCTAAAACGATTATTTCTCTCTAGTTATTGCACTTAACATAAGTCGCTTCTAAGTAGAATAAGCAGGATGAACGGATTGTGGCAAGACTAATTGTAAGTTCTAGTATGCATTAATAGGACGAAATATATGTATATAGGCGAATCTTTAAAGTTACGCGTACTTCGCGTAGGTGAATTTGCAAACTAAATTACGGTCGAGGAGTAAAATATTGTGTTATGATAATCGGTCCGTGGAACGTAAACGTGAGATGATGTAATACTGGCGTGGAACATAAAACGTAAACATATATGTTTTATAAAATCTCTATCGAAGCCATATTTCCAAAGTGCTTTATTTTGTATCATAATTTATTAATTAAAAAAATGTACACATGCTTAGAATACTATTTTGATACATTAAAAAGGTTAATCTTGTAAAGAGAAAGACACCATTAAAAACTAAATGAAAATACTGATGTGTTCAGGGCGTGTACAATTTACGAGACGGCCATCGTTATATTTTGTGACAATTAACGGTTACAACGCGATAATTCATCGTGTCCGTGCAGGCATGTATATAGGTACAATTTAAACTCCTATTAGAGCGCTGATGCGAAAATCTATTATGAGAAATAGTTGCGCGTAGTTAGGATCAGTAGGCAATTTAATTCTAACATGAAAAGATACTACTTATAAATGTAGATTTAGATGAAGGAAGATTGAAGAGAAAAGTGCATCCACTGTGGTATCGAGGTTCATAAATCAAGCGTCACCTCACGGCGTGAGCTATTGCCGGTAAATATGTATAAAAATTCACCTTGACACAAATATGGGATCAACAATTCAAACATTATTTTCATTGCCAAGATTACATGTTTCATATAATTATTTCATATAATTCGATGCTGATTCTCGATCGTCGATCGAATCATTTAAAGGAAATGTTCAACAATCGACAGTTTACTACTCACGATTTTCGATCGAGTAGGCCAACAGCGGATCTCCGACGGTCGTCCTTCGATCACTTTCACGGATTTTGGTCGCGAAAACGTTTGGTCACGCTCTATCGAACTTCGACTACCGTTTGCGTACAAAAATAATGTATTACTCCTAATCTTTGCTAAACCACGACCACTACTGTTAACTTATCGGCGCTCTAGTGGTTTCGTTATCTAGTTTACTAAGACACTTTGATCTCATACCACAAGTAAACCAACGCCCGTGTCATCCTTTTCTTGGAAAAGAATGATGCTCTGGGACATGTAGAAAACAAAGAATCCCTCGTGTTTAGAGTTTCAGTCTCGTCACGGTACCTGGACTACCTTGCCCAACGTCAGGAATCAAGATTCAGTGGTACACGCGAGTCTCTAGTCAGACCAGTTTAGAACGCGGACCGTAACTTTCCTGAGACAAAGTAAAATATTCGAAGCAGCTACGGAAATTTTCGCGACAAGAATAGATCTAGCTCGGGCTCATGCTGAAGCAAACAGAGCAAATAGTACACGATTACTTAGTTACTTAATTTTTTAGTAACATCGTGCAAAGACAGATCATTCGCGACCGGTTCCAAGTAGTTCACCGATTCGTGAAGTGTACGGCGGACGGAGTGTACACCTTGTCAATAACCCGTCGTACCGAGCACTGTGTGCAAAATACGTTTACGCATACGCAATGCCACTGCCACGCGAGAAATTAATTCTTCCTCGAACGACGATCAATCATGATCGCGATGCTATTACCGGTCAGGACGTATGATCGACGCTACAAAGTGGACAAGTGGGCGTACGATAATTTTTGGCACCCGTTACCACACATCACACGAAACCGGAGGAATCGCTGCCTTTTTTACTCGTGAAAGATTACTCATAGCCTGAGTCAAGATCGTAGTATGAGTCTACGAGCTTTAATAAGCACCAAACATAATGCAGTAAAATAGAAAACACGCATTGAGAAAAGGTTTCGGTTGATCTGTTTACAAACGCACGGTCCAGCAAATCGTAATAATGTATATATAACAAATATTATGTACGTAAGGCGAATGGAGTAATAAGGAATAACCTCTTTCCTTCTTACGTATTACGTACATACATTAGCAACATTAGCATCGTTTAGAATTCATTAATAACAATAAACGGAATAATTGATGATGCAGAAAAGAAACTCGAGTAATCAAACTATGTACGAGCTCGAGCGAAATGTCGAGTCAATGTAATCAAAATACATAAAGCAATGTAATCATCGCAATCGTGTATTATCTAATCGAATGTAATCTTCCAGGAAAATAATCTGAACGTACGTGGGACATCGCGCGGAACGGGAGCGAGACGTGGAAATGGATTTTTCAAAAAACATTCGCATATTCTTCTTGAAATCTATCACTTTAGTACTGTCATTCCTCATAAAAATTCCCGGTCAAGATAAGAATCGCCAATAGGAAGAACTGCGCCGCAGTAAAAAAAAAATTGTACGTTGATAAACTTCACGTGACAAACTTTATATTTCCACTTCTTTTTTCACATTTAAACTGTTCTGTACAAAACTTTGTGTCATTTTACATTTGAAATTTCTTCGAATTGATAACTCTGTATAGATTTATAAATATCTATTTAAAGAGTTGATCCTTTATCACGGAACATCGAAACTTTATCCAAAATAGAAAACTTGAAGAATCGCGAAGTTCCAAAGTCACAAATGATGAACCGGTAAACTAACTGTCTCACTTCACGACTGTCCAACGCACAGGATATCGAGCTAACGGTAATTAGTTCGTGATTAGATTGCGAAAAACATTTCGAACTATTAGAGTCGAAGGAACTTGCGCGACGTGCGGCCAACGACTATCCATTGACTTTTTCACGTTCCCCATTGTTCGAACGTCCAGTGGCAGTGCACGTGTACTGCTTGTTCGTCTCCCTTTCTGAACGGGTTTCCATGTCGACGACTCGGCCTATACTATACCTGATAGACGCGTCGGCTCTCGTCTCACCCTGATACATATAAACCATCTACGGATCTCCTGCGCGTGGCACTTGCCCGCGCGGATCTTACTTAGCCACCTATTCGGCTGGCAAATCAATCATTAAATCATTCTATACATTTTTTTTCCTTTATACATTTAACGAAAATGTAGACAGACGTAATAGGATAGAGTTT